GATATTGTCCAAGATTAACCTTCAGGGTGGATATAGCTCGCTAGCAGCCTCGCACCGAGGACCTATCCACGTCATCATTTACCCAGAATGCTTTGTGTGGAAATAAAATGGCTCAATCCGACTTAAAATATATTTTAAAAAATATAAAAACTAAACAGCCTACAGTATTTTTAGTCTTTATTTTACAGTTAAAATAAATGTTTGTCAAATAAAGTTTAATGTTACAACTAATGGATCCCTTTAAACAGCCTTCAGCTGAATATAAAGATATGCAGAACCAGGAGAGACGAACTGTAATTTTTCTGCCTCCTAAAGACTTCAAGTTCACAACAAAATGTATTTGATGACTAAAAAAGAGGATTTTGTATCGTGTCTTTAAATCAGCTTTTAGTGTTTAAAACTTTATTATAATTCATATCTAGTTTCTCGGTTCAGCTCCGCCTGCAGTGCATGCTGGGTAATGTAGTGAAGTGGATTCAGGCCCTGTCTGCTGACAGAAGGAGTCTGATGTGATTTCAGATCCAAACAGCGCCTGGTTTCAGAAAGTGTGTCAGAGGTGTTCAGATGAAAGCTGGTTTCTCAGTAACTGTTTTCTGTGAGCAGAGACGAGGGCAGGTTACCAACCCCGAGGATGAAAACGAGGCCGGTTCAGAGGACTCACCACGACCTCACCACACCAGCCACAGGTGAACATTCGCTGAGTCGTGAAGCATCGCACCGATCCCTAAGCTTCACACGGTGACACGCAAACTTTACCGTTTCATCTGATGTTCACGACACGTTCAAGATCAAWCATCAGTTTAGCAGGAATTAAAGTTCATTTCTTGTTAGAAAACTGTGAGAGCTTCAAAAAACTGAACTCAGCAGTTAGATTAAAGAGTTTCCYCCGTTTTTACTTTATTTAGGACATGATGGTTACAGGAAGATTAGAGGTTACGTTGAGGTTTAAAAGACCTAAAAAACTTTCCGAGAAAACGGCTCGTATGATTGATGGAAAATCAAATTTCACCTCTAACTGCAGAAAATCCATCGGAGTCTGGGACACAGGTTGTTTGTTCTGARTGATTATTTTCCAGCTTCACAGTAAATCTGAAAGTTTTAAACCTCTGACTGTTGAGCACAAGGGGCGGAGCCATCATCATCTCCAGACTTCGGCTTGAACTGTTAGCTTAAACGTTCTTTTTCCAACTTCACGGTCATTCAAAGCAAATTTAAATAAGTGCTTAAGTCATTTTTATATGTTGAAATTTAACAACAGATGTGTTGATCTGTTTGACCTCCAGGGGGCGCCATACTTGTGGGCAAACTGCAGAACACAGACAATTCCTCTGCAAACAAGCAGCAGGTACTAAATATGATAAAACACCTCAAATGTTAAATAAACTGTTGCTCAGGTGACTCTACCTGTGTCCAGAAAGGTGGCATGGACGTTTTYGTGACGACAGGGGCGGAGCCTGGCRCCAACTCGCCAGCCAGACGCAAAGAGGCGTGGTCAGAGAACGTTCCCAGCCCCTCCCCCGAGCACAAATCAGCCTCCAGCCTGMTGGGTAAACCACTCAGGACAAAGCAGGCGTCCCCCTCACCTGTAGCCCCGCCCCCTTTAACCTCCCCGCCACAACATGGCATCCATGGCTCCATGAGACACCCGGACTTCCAGCACAATGGTGAGAACCAAACTCCTGATGAGGTGTTTTAAYCACTGTTGATGGAAATCAGGAAGCATTAAGGTCAGTGCAGCTAGTCGCTAATTAGGTTATATGGCTAATTAGATTATAGGGCCTTTTAGCTTATGTGGCTAATTAGCTTATGTGGCTATAGGGCCTTTTAGCTTATGTGGCTAATTAGCTTATGTGACTAATTAGCTTATAGGGCCTTTTAGCTTATGTGGCTTATTAGTTTATGTGGCTTATGTGGCTTATTAGCTTATAGGGCCTTTTAGCTTATGTGGCTAATTATCTTAGTTTATATGGCTAATTAGCTTATGTGGCTTATTAGTTTATGTGGCTTATGTGGCTAATTAGCTTATAGGGCCTTTTAGCTTATGTGGCTTATTAGTTTATGTGGCTTATGTGGCTAATTAGTTTATAGGGCCTTTTAGCTTATGTGGCTAATTATCTTAGTTTATATGGCTAATTAGCTTATGTGGCTTATTAGTTAATGTGGCTAATTAGCTTATGTGGCTAATTAGCTTATGTGGGTTATTAGTATATGTGGCAAATTAGTTTATGTGGCTAATTAGTTTATGTGGCTAATGAGCTTATGTGGCTAATTAGCTTATGTGGGTTATTAATTTATGTGGCTAATTAGCTTATGTGGCTAATTAGCTTATGTGGGTTATTAGCTTATGTGGCTTATTAATTTATGTGGCTAATTAGCTTATGTGGCTAATTAGCTTATGTGGGTTATTAGCTTATGTGGCTTATTAGTTTATGTGGTTAATTAGCTTATAGGGCCCTTTAGCTTATGTAGCTTATTAGTTTATGTGGCTCATGTGGCTAATTAGCTTATAGGGCCTTTTAGCTTATGTGGCTAATTATCTTATTAGTTTATATGGCTAATGAGCTTATGTGGCTAATTAGCTTATGTGGGTTATTAGCTTATGTGGGTTATTAGTTTATGTGGCTTATTAGTTTAGATGGGACAGACCCATACGAGAACAAGAACGGGGCTCAGGTTGTTTTATTACAGCTGATTGTTAAAAAGAACTTTTATATTTGAGTGTTTTTGTTTTGAGACAAACACCCCGGCCCGCTCGGTGTAAAGGAGGAGTGTTAGATAACAAAGGTGGATTTTCCCCTTCACTTCCTTCTGCTCCTCTCCGTGGATCAGATTTCATAATCCATCTGACAAACTGGACCAGAGGAAGAGGAGGTAAACAATCTGCTCGTTTCTCGGCAGGTGAACTGGGTCTGAGGTCCAGGGAGCAGCCGTGTTCCAGAGGAGGCTGCGGTTCAGACGAAGGTGATCCTCCTCCTCATCATCAATGAATTTAAAATAACCAGAGCTTCACATTAAATCTGTTGTTTCTCACATTCTGACACCCAGACGATCAGCTCTCGGTGATGTCGTGGCGCTCGGCCGCCTCCTGCTCTGCAGCGTCGGCCATCTTGAAGCGTGCTCAGAGGAGGCGGGAGGACTTCTGGGGGAAGAGATGACCTCATTTCATGTGTTTATTTATGAATCATGTTGCAGAAATTAGTCTGAATCATGTCTTTTTGTAGAAAAATTAAAAGATGTTTTTGATAAAGATGTTTTGCTTYAGTTGATAACTTTTAAAGAAACATGGCTTCAGGTTTTAGTGACGGTCGTTCCAACTTCCTGTCAGTTTTAAAGATAAAGGAAGTGGCGGCGCTGATGCATTAAAGGTTGATGATCTGTATTTATTGGTTTATTTTTTGGAAAATTCCCAGGTTCTCTCTTTCTGAGGCTGTCAYCTGTGTCATGAAGCTGTAATCTTTAGAAAGTTTTTAGTCTCTGATCACCTGCTGCAGGTAAGAAAACGGAACAACAAAAATCCCTGYTTCACGTGTCTCCAAACAAAAAAACAACAGCAACATAAATAATGACCAGATCTGTCAGAGCTTTAAAAAYCTAAGTCGTTGCAGTTTTAATTGAAACTTAAATTTTATTAAAASTGAATGATGTCAGCTCGCTGCGGCGGCCATCTTGGCTTCCCATGACTCCCTCCACAGAGCTTCACTGAACTCCAATGAGCAAAAACCCAAAATGTCTGAGGCGACGTCAGCGCAGAGGAAGAACAAACACTCACTTCCTGCGGCCTGACGGGTCACGCTGTAAAGCAAAGAGTTGACTGTGAATTCCCCTCATAACGCCGCCGTACAGAACAAACGGTGGAGCTGACGGAGGCGGGCGCTCCTGCCGCGCCGCCGCAGGAAGTGTGACGACGCGCTRACCGGCTGAAGTCTGGGTGGATTCTTCCCAGGAGATCATTTTACTCTTCAAATAAAAAACTAAAGGTTTTATATGAATCATCAAAACTTGTTTATTTAAACTGAATCCGACATTTTCAACAAATAAAAACAAGCATGATGTAATCTACATCAGRTTAACGATGTTTTGTTTGGAAAGTTTTAGTTTTAAACAGGAAATTCAACTTTTTTCCAAACTTAATTCTAAAATCTTTCCTCAGTCTGGCCTATTTTTAGTCTCAGATGTAAAATAAAAGGTTTATATGAAATCAGCATGTCCACGTTTATAATAAATACCTGTTAGAGCTCAGAGTGTGTTGACTCTCCGCTACTACCACTCCTAACTTTAGCCCATTTTCTGCTAAACTAACTGGAGTTAAGAAAAACATAAACTCTTGGGTGTCCTGAAAGGCGCTTTATAAATAAAATGCATAATTATTATTATTATTAATCTCATTAAAGTAAAAAAATGTCCAGGTCCAGAGTTAGTACTGTCTGAGCTCCAGCTGGGTTGGACTGTCCCAAAAACCTGGTCCTGTGAGCCGAGAGGGTGCGGCCCAAGAAAGAAGCTGCTGGAGTCCTGAACCACAGAAGCCAGGAGGAAACCTGAACATTTGGTTCAAATCAAACAACCGGTCCACAACGACCAGCACCTGTAAGAACTGCAGGTTTGGTCCAGCCTGTGGTTCAGAAAGTAGAGCAGGTGGTTTGATTTCCAGCTCTTTAAAATGTCTTTACGCAAAAWTATTCAACTGGATTGAGAAATTTCCTGTGTGTGTAAATCATTGTGATGYAATGGAGACTTGTTGTGTAACAAACATTAATGTACAGAGTCACAATGACCTCAGGGTTCAACCAGAGGTGAGTTTCTCTGAAAACAACCACAAAATTTATCAGCAGACACTCAAACTGGAATCTTTGCTTTTCGTTTTTTGTAAGACAGGAAGTGTTCAGTTGGACCAAAAAACACCTGATGTCAGAGGACTTACAAGGACTGCATCATTAGTTGAGTCTGCATTAAATGGTTTTTATATCTGCACTGCCTGGCCAAACAGGAAATCACCACAAATAAATAAATAAATAAATAAATAAATAAATAAATAAATAAATAAGTTCACACATTATTATTTGTTGGACCACCTTTAACTTAGATTACGGCCCACATCCTCTGTAGCATTGTTTGATAATCTTCTGTAATGACAGATTTATTTCATCTAGTGTTGCATTAATGTTTCACCAACATCTTTCATTGATGATGGTGAGTCTGACCTTCTCCAGCACATCCCAAAGACTCTCAATGGACTCTGTGGAGCCAATCCATGTGTGAAAAGGATGTCCCATGCTCCCTGAACCACTCTTTCACAATAAGAGCCCRRTCAATCCTGTCTTTGTCCACTTGGACTATGGCCGGACCATCAGGGAAGACACTTCAGGTGGACATTTGTTTTGGGCCAGGCAGTGTATTACTGCTGCATTAATGATGTGAGTCAAAATAAGTCAGTGTTCACTTTTGTTTGCTGTGCCAGTGTTCACTATTGTTTACAGATTAAGTACTCACAGTATTGTCTGCAGAGTCAGTGTTCACTATTGTCTGCAGAGTCAGTGTTCACTATTGTTTGCAGGGTCAGTGTTCACTATTGTTTGCAGAGTCATTGTTCACTATTGTTTGCAGGGTCAGTGTTCACTATTGTTTGCAGAGTCATTGTTCACTAATGTTTGCAGAGTCATTGTTCACTACTGTTTGCAAAGTCATTGTTCACTATTGTTTGCAAAGTCATTGTTCACTATTGTTTGCAGAGTCATTGTTCACTATTGTTTGCTGTGTCAGTGTTCACTATTGTTTGCAGAGTCATTGTTCAGTATTGTTTGCAGAGTCTTTGTTCACTATTGTTTGCAGTGTCAGTGTTCACTATTGTTTGCAGAGTCAGTGCTCACTATTGTCTGCAGGGTCAGTGTTCACTATT